TTATTTATTTATTTATTTATAGAACCAGGGATTGAGCTCAGGCCCTTGTTCTTGCCAGGGAAGCATTTATCCACTGAGCCATCTCCCTGGCCCCAAGGACTGATATTTTAAATAGGTATCAATCACCTTGAAAGAGCCCAAAAGAGTCACTAACCCAACCCCCAACAGAAAGAGACCCTGTCCTGTATTCATGCTTGCTTGCATGTGACTCTCTTCCTCATTTGGTACTGGATTTAATCAATTTTACCTGAGCAGTGGTGCTTGTAATCTCATTGATTGATCATAGTTTTGTCCTACCTTATGCCCACCTAGGCAAGTTCCCATGTTTTCTACCACCTTAGACACCCACCTCACTGCATGATATTACTATATAAAAATCCCTGGAAGACACAGCTTCCCGGGGACAATCTGCTTGGTGACCTCCTTCTTGATAGGTTTTGATGGTGTTGCAGCAGGGAAACAGGCAGAAGGAAAAAGGGAAAGGGGCTTTATTATAAAGGAAAAGGGGCTTTGATATCTTGGAGGACACAGAGAGAATTTGGGAAGATAAGGAATTCTCTGGATTGGAACAAAGGGAGGCTGAGGCTTTAATGGCCTTTTGCCAAGGGTGGGGCTGGGGGGCATGTTTAGATAGACCTGAGGAGCTGACTGGGGTATTCGCTGAGGTGGCAGGAAGGGTGAAAGGAAATTACACCCTGGGCTGAGTTGGAGAAGAAGGGGGGAGGTGGTCTCTGGGAAGATAAACTGTTGTTTTAAGGGCTTCAGCCATATTGGACTACCACCATAATAATTCAGCAATTCATACTAGGGTCATAACCTATCACTTCTGTTCCTCTCTAGGATAGAAGTTTTCTTTCTTCCAATAAATATGTTCTGCTCTTAACCTCCATTCATTCCTGAAATTCATTCTTAGGTTTTAGAGAATACGAACTTGTCCCAAGTACCTCTGAGGTCGGGAGTTTCATTTTCCCCACTATCACTTCCATCTTGTGATGTTGTCCTAGCAGCATGTACTTTTTTCAGGGTTGTCAGTGCCAGGCAGGAGGTGAGGGCCAGTCAGAGCGCTCAATCATCCCCTTCGAGTGACTCAGCAGTTTTGCTCACAGGTGGGCTTGTGGACCCCAGCTAAGCACCAAGGAACTGAACAATACAGGAAGTGTCGCAGACTTGTGTCAAGTGAATATTGCCTCTGTCACCACCTTCACCTTGGTCACTTAATATCTCTTGGCTCCTTTTCTCCACATGTAGACCACACCCAAGTGCCCTCCACAGGAGAAGCCTCACAGTCTGTTTGAGATGCTCCATCCAACACAGGCTCTTCAAGTGACATATAAGAACCTTTCAATAG